AGGCTCGGCAGTGCTATGTTGGCTAGCACTATGGAAGAAAGAGACTTGGGGGTCATCATTGGGCCAGCCCTAATGTCTATGAAATCTATGAAATCTATGAAAATTATTCCAATTTAAAAAAAATATTTTTTGCCACATTGCTGTTTTTGGTCATCCTATTAATGTGGCAAATCAATCAAGCTAGACTTTTTATTCACAGCTCTAATTTCTAAAAAAATAAAACCACACATTTCATAAATAGTCTGGCAGAACGTTATATTTTAAGGTACAAATACTAGTAGGAATTACTGTAGCTTCCATAATACATATCCTTTTTCAAAAATAAATATTGTCCCTACTTTCAACTTGAAGAAAACAGGCATTTTTAAATCCTTTTTTAAGGATCTGGCTAAACATGACAGACTGTCCTTTATTGGTCAAATGTGTATTTTGCATGTCAAATAAACACTTGATCAGAGCCAAAAGGCTGAGAAGGTAATGTAGACTCTATGCAGACCCCTCAATGCAAACTAGTACATTTTACCTATCTTGAAATACGCTGCTTGCAAAAGAAGAACCATCATTTGAATGGTAGTAGCCTGTTACTATAATGGACCATTTAAAGTCATTAGACTTACAAAAGAACCAATAACTGAACAGGACTTTACCCAAATGTATCCCGGAAAAGAATAGGAATTTCTCTACACTAAAATTTCTTAGGGAATTTCATACCAGTGGTCCAACTATACTGATGACAGAAACAACTGAAGCCTGAATGCAAAGAGGTTTATAGGTTGTAGCCATGTTGGTTTAAGGACATAGGCAGACAAGATTCTTTAGGTATGCCCGATGAAGGGTATTTATACCCAAAAGCTTGCTCAGAAGAATTTTTTCAACCATTTGAGTTGGTCTAATAAAAGATATCAGATTTACCCAAAGAACCTTGTCTGAATGCAAGGAGAATTCTGATAACCCATTTTTTTTCCCATCATGCTTACTTCTTGTGGGATGCTAGTCTGCAATAACACTATTATTTTTATCATCACCTGAGGACCTGAACCGGTGGAAACAATGATGAACAGATGCAGTCTAAAACATGCCTTCGTAGGACATGTGAGATGCAAAAAACAGGGAGCTGCACATGAGGCTCAGTCCTTTCTACCATGTATGTGTTAGATACCTTATGTCCTTAAAGAAGAAGGGTAAACTTCTAGCTATAAACATCTGATCATGTTTACTTGAATGCTTCTCTTATTCTCTGATTATGAATAAAATATACAGTATAGGACAACCTAAATGCTAAGGGTTGATCAGGCACCAGACAGAAACTAAGTTCTAACTGATGCAGAGGCTGGGCTAGGTAATGCTAGGGTGACCACAATAATTTGAGGGAAATCTGGAATGAAGTGGGTGCCAACATGTGCAATTCCCTCCCCCCGCTGCCCCCCGGCAATGCTGTGGCTCCCAGGAGTGGGGCTGGGCAGGACAGTGCAGTGCACAAACAAAAATACACATGCACACAGCCCCAACCCCACAGAGCCCAAGAGTGGGGCCAGTCAGGAGATCACGGGACACCCACACACAAACCTATGGCTCTTCCCCGCAACTCTACTGCGCAAGGGACTCCGCTTGCAGCCCAGTGGGGTATGGACCAGGAAGCAGCCAACTCGCTGGGCTCTCTAGAGAAAAGCAAAGCAAAAGTCCTGGATTGGAAGAAATCCACCCACACATGGCTGGTTTCTGAGTCAGAAGCTAGGCATGTGCAGGCGGGTTCACACCAACCCTGGGACTTTTGCTTCAATTTTCTCCAACAGGCAGGATGCTGAGACAGCCTCTGACATCCAGGACTGTCCCAGCCAATCCAGGACATATGGGCACCCAAGGTAATGCCCGAATATGAAAACAGGGGCAAAGAGGCTACAACTTCAATCTGCAAATGGTACTTGTCTAATATTTGCAAGTGACGCAAGTACATCAAGATTGGTGGTGACTATATTCATGCTTTTCATTCATTAGTCATAAATAAACTATGTTTATAATGGCTGTCAGCAGAATCTGAGTCCGCTGTTTAATGTTTCACCCCCCATGTCTGCATCATTGTCTTTGGGGTGCGGGGGAAGGGGAGGAGTTGCCTGATAGCTCACTGGTAAGTAAATGTATAGGAAACCAGCAGAGTCATTTAATTTTAACTTCATTTAAAGTCTTGGGATAATACCTAAAACAAAAGGTTATGGGAGAGAAGAGGTTAGTAGCAGCTTAAGCAGCAGCCCTGCAGGGTTATAAGGACTAAACCTACTGATTTAGAGTGGGAAGAACAATTCTTTCAGGCAAAGAGCAGTAAGACACAACAATAGAGGGAAACAGGTGGGGAGAGACAGATAAAATTAAAATCAAAGTGAAAATTAAGAGCTTTGGCATGGAAGAGATTTGTATAAACTGCATGGGGTAAACAGTCAATTGCTCAAGGGGTTAAGAGGAACCTGCACAAAAATAAAAAATGAAACATTTGGTGTTTAGAGTAGGGATTTAGAGAAAATACAAAAGGCAGTTCATTCAGTGCCTATCGCAATCCTGAATAGGCTCTCCAGGCACTATTTTCATAAAATAATAATTAGCATGAGAGCGCTCTGGTGATTTTTTGTAATCCATTATTGTTTCCATTATTTCTTCTCAAAATTTACCATTACTGATCATAGTTCCAGTAATTAAAATGCATCCATTAGAATTAGGGGTGGCAGGAAAAGAAAGCAATTCAAGAGAAAGTGAAAGAAAAACCTCTCTCTCTCTCCACATTTAATATCCCCCTTCAGCATTTAGCTACTAATATTTCCTTCACCGTTCACACACAAAAACCCTGATCAAAGTACCCCGCAAGGATAACAGGCACCCAAAAGCACTCCTCACCAGTTCGAGAAGCAGAGCGTGGTTTCTGGGGGACCGTGGGTCGTCCAGTCAGGCTGGGCTTTGCTGACTGCAGCGGAGGCTTCGGGCTGGTTGGTGTATTGGAAGAACTTCGAGCCTTTGCGCTGGCTTCTGCCTTCGGTTCTGTTTTGATATTTTTTTCTCCTGATGCCACAGTGGAGTCACCTTTACTCAAGGCAAAACGACTCTCTGGAAGGGTCTGCTGGAGCTTAGGCACTAAAATGAACGAAGGACTAAATAAATAAATAACATCCTACTCAAAGAGGAGGAATGCTGTTTAAGTACACTCACATGGCAAACCCCCACATCAGCAAAAGCACACAGAAAAAAGGCAGTAATGGGTGAACGCCCACAGTTCCAAGTTCAGCATTGATTCCAGAGGCATCCAAAGATGCAGATGTTTAAATGATTGCACAGAGCATTTGGCAGCTCATTCATCTACCTGAGAGGTCTTGGTGTCTCTACCATCTTGGATCTATTTAAAGTGGTGCTGAATTGGCCCTCCAATTCAGGACTTCAGGAGCAGATGGCATGATCTGCTTGCTGGGAAGCCAGGAAGGTCTCAGCAGAAGAGTTCATCTTTGGCTGTTTAGTGCCAGTGGGAGTAGTGTTTCTATGGACCAAAGGTGAAAAATGCAGCCAGTATTTTTTTTTCAGTCCTGCTGCCAAAGACAAAACCAGGGAATCCAGAATGGAGGAGGCAAAATCCTGAACTGTCAGCAAGTAAAACTGAATGTTGTTATTATTTGGTTTTAGATCAGATTTGAAATTTATTAGAGGGCGAAGCCTTAACTACTCAATCTTCTGATGTACTAGGTAACTTTGCATATGGAATACTGTCCTGCCCATTAGCAAGTTTATTAAAACATTATTGATTCCAAGCAAAGCCTGAACACATTTGCACGCAAATCACATTTTCTTCCAAGAACTTAAAATTTAACACAGCTACAGCCAGCTGTGCAAACTGGTAAAAAATGTATTGAAATCCTGCATACAAATAACCAAAATACCTGCCCTTATTTCCTTCCTCCCAATTCTGGGAGGACTCCAGAAGGCTTATATGGACATGTAGCTGATCTCTGGAGGGAAGCCTGCTTCGCTTTAAATGACTTGCAGAGTTTCATGCTTCGAACGTAATGCACCTAAATTTAGACAGCCTGCTTTGGCATAACTTGATGTGGATTTGGCCTAGCTAACTGCTATTCCAGGTGAGAAAACCTACTTGTTTCAGTAGTGCTGAGCACAGGAATTCTAAGTGCAATGTGTAAAAATATTGGTATAGCTAATTGCAGGGAGTCTCCAAATGTCTTTCCAGTTTACATACTTAGTTAGACAGCTTTGAGTTCAGGTCTAACCAAAAGGACTGGGTGGCAGGTGAACATGTATAATACATTTTAGCATTACAAGCAAACAGAGGATGGCTTTCCCACTTTTCTCCACTACACTTTTCTGTGAAGGCAAGTGAGTGTGTATATGTATGTACATGAGAGGGAGAAGAATTGGGTACCCAAACCAAGAAAAAGGAAAACATTCTCTCTGAATCCCATCCTGCCTACCATTGTCTCAGTAATATGCCCCAATTTCCCTTTAACTCTGTTTCTTGCCTTTCTAATCTCAGGCTCGGTAACATTATTCAAAAGGAGTACGATAAAACAAATTAGCTAAAACAATGACAAATTGTGGTTGTAACAGGAGGGTGTGGCCAGAAGGAGCTCCTTACCTAACAGTGGTTCAAAGAAATCTGGCAGCAAGAGCCAGAAGAGCTGCTGTGCTATGCTGCAGTGAGTCTGGGTGGAACATGTCACAGGCAGCAATGAGCAACATTGCATTGAGAGAAAAACTGAGGTCAACTCCCCCTTTAACTCTTTGCACACCCACTTTTTCTCAGTCCTGTGGCCTCATATCTTATTAGGATACAGAAAATAAACAAAACAATTCTTCCTTCTCCAAAAAGTATGAGTCTGTAAAGTCAGGCTGACTTAAGATCATTGTTTCATGCAGTGCACACACTAGCTTTTAAACTGCATTTAGAAATGGTCCAAAACCGCAAATAGGTTTCCAACACAAGCAATCAGCCAGCAGCTAAATCAGGAACTGTTTTTTAAAATGGGTTTGAACTTTATGTTCATATACTTTGACAACATTGTTATCTTATACCCCTGAAATGCCCAGTGCCACTCTTGAGGAACTGACATTGGATTTTTAACACATGCTCTTCAGTCCAGCTGCTACCAAATGACTCTCTGTGACACACAAATCATCATCAGGATCAGCATGGTTTGACAATCCCAGCACAAAGTCCCAGAACTGTATAGGTGTGGAGCTTGAACTGTACTTCTGTACTACCTAGGCCAAATTTAGATACCTTGGCAAAACAGTGAGGGAACCTTGAACTGAAAATGACTATGTTATACCCATTCTGAGAATTAAGTACATCACTGACCAGAACTACCTACCCAGTACGGCATACGAGTACTATAAACCCTGCAAAATGATCTACTGGTTATATTTTGGCCTTGTTTTCAGTAACGGCAATCATATTCAGGGCTTCGTTTTTCCTTTGTGCCCAAAACTATCTGCCACTTTTTGATTTTCAGTGTCAGCTTTCTTGCTGCTGTAGTCAGTCAGCATCCTCTGAGAGGACTGGAGGAACAGAATGCAAGAAGACCTCCTTCCCCACCTGTTTGCCCCCAGATAACCATGAAGAGAGCAAAATTGCTGGCCTTCAAGCTAGCAGTGGAATGGGTTCTCTCTGAAGTGATGTCAAATTCAGTAACAATACAAACCAGAAAACTAGCTCCCCTTTACTAATCCTTTTCAGTGATCCCAAGATCACAAAATATTACATTTTTGTTAAGAGAGAGAAATGTGATTACATGCTACATGTGTTATATTTTATTGGCCTTAAAAAAATGATCTAGATGAAGAAACGCAAACAACTTTACCTGAACTGTTGCCATCCTGTCGGTCTGCACTTGCTGTAGTATCATGTGAATCCCGGGAAACTACATCATTTCCAAATTTCTAGAAGAGAGAGAAAGTTCCTAAAATCATTACTTATAAATATCAAAATTCAGATTTAAAAAAAAAAATAAAGTAGCTCTTATCTAAAAATTAGAAGCTGAAGAAAGCAACACTACTACTTGTGTTGATATTTTGCAAATCTATGCAGGAAGGAAACAACACCATTTCTGCCTGCCAATAATACCCATAGCTCTGGCAGGGTCACAACAATATGCTCATTAAGTGGTAAACCTTCTAGGGAATGAAAGCTGTACTTGGAAAGTCCAGTTAGAAACCTTCCCTCTCCCCCACCCAAATCAACCTAAGCAGTGCCAAATGAAATAAAATACCAGATGAAATGTGTAAGTTTTATCTGCCCTAGATAGAAAAATGATGCCTATTCAAAGATTCAATTTGGAAGCACAGATTGTTGAACGGGTGTCACAGTTTTACTCCAAAAGCAGGGTTGATTTAGGAGGTCTCTGTGTCATGCATAGCTATTTTCCCAAATTAGATGTACTAATGTAGTGTTGATTCTATAGCTAAATTATGCTCAGTTTTAGCATTTTATGTTTGTATGAACTATGGCATTCAATGCAAATGGATTTTTGTGTTTTTATTCTGTGACTACAATTATGCAATGAGGTGAAGGCTCAGTTAATGTCAGGAATCACTAGATTAGACAAAGACTATCTGCACTTCTGAGAAACAGTAGTTTACAGCAGGAAAGTTAATTTCCTAGAGTCCCTGCTTGGGATGGCTATGCATAATGACCAGCCAGGGAAGTGGCCATGCGTAGATGAGCCGAGGCTCATCTCCAAACAAATATTTACATTTCAAAGGGGAAGTCTTTAGCAGGGAGCACTCAGGAGACATATACCTAGAAGGAATCTCATACAGAGATTGATATTTTTCACCCTGTGAGTAAATGAGAGAATTATCTTTCCTGAATAATTGACAGCCAAAGAAATATGGTTAACTGTTTATCTCTCTGAAAGGATGTAAATATTTCTACACATTTTAAGTATAGTTGTAAATCAGGAGTAACACCTGACATGTCAAGCAGATGCATCTCAGGGGGAGGAAGTCATTTGCATAATATACACATGCTCCCTGAGGTCTGAATATTAAAATAAGGTATATAAGGGATGCTTTCAAGGAAGGCTGTTTGCCTAACGGAACCCCTATGCCTCAGGGCTACTTCTTAGTCCCCCCCCGCTAGCAGAAGCTGGGATAACTTGTTGGACAAGTGCAGAAGTTACTGGCAGAAAACAGATGAAAGAGTGGGGCAGTTCCCTGGTCAGAGGGCAGCACTGCTTTCTAGTGAAAAAAAAAGGAGGGTGATTTTTTTTCACTGAAAGGGAATTTCCTTTCTGTGTTGGAACAGCAAGGTCAGGCCTGAGGGCAGGTGGAACTAAATTGTGCTTCAGTGAGAAGCTGACCCACGGGCAAGCAGCAGAACATCTGAAATATGCGGAGCTCAAGGGTGTCTCAATGCCATTAAAACAGACTTGGTTTGTTACAATGGGTCTTAGTTTATTCAAACAGAGGTAGGGGGGTGGGTGTGTGTGGGTGTGTGTGTGTGTGTGTGTGTAGGTTAGGGTTGTAGCCGTGTTGGTCTAAGGACATAAGGACATGTGTGTGTGAGGAACACTTTTAGAAACATGACCTGGGATGCCCCGAAGCATAGATGCCTTCTCATTTTTTTGGCCAACATGTAAGATACAGGGGAAAACATGGATGAGGAAAAAAAAGAGAAACAGGCATGTAAAGTCAGACTTGAGAGTAGCTGCAGGATAACCCAACACCTTTGAAAGTCAGGTTACTTATTACATTTCTGAATCTAACTTTAGGCAAACTTGGAAATATCAGACAATGTCTTTACCTCAAGAAACAAATCTGAAAGGAACATACCTATACATCAATTATCCATTATGATCATCCTGAGGTCAAGTGAATCCATAGAATGCTCTTTCAGGGAAGATCCTGTCTATGCAGGATCAAACTCTGGGATTATATTGTTTCCTTCTATTGCACACACACAGGAAGAGCAGGGAGACTAGGAGGACTAAACAGACCAAAGCAGGTAGGATGCCCTGCATGAAAAGACCAGGCACAAAGTGTGGCCCTTTAAATTAGAAAACAAGCTAAATATATTTTTATTAAAATGTGAAACTTGGGTATTGCGAAGGGAGCATGTTTTGCTCCCTGCTCAGTTGCAGCACCAGAGTACAGTGAGCGACATACTGTCTTCTGGAGGGAGGGAAGAAGTAAAGCACTCTGGGGTCCAAGAGGACTGTGCTGTACCTTCTCCCAGATGCTCTCTTAGAAACTCTCCTGGGAGTGATTTAACCCTGGTTGTTCCTGGTTACTATTCCCCTGGAGCAGCCACTTTTGTTTTGGGAGAAAAATCCTGAACATCTGTATATTTGTAGTTTCTCACAGGAGAGCAGCGACTCTCCCAGGAGAAATTGAATGTCTGTACACAGCCTATGACTATACGAAGAGCTTCTTACCAAAAGTCACTATGAGGAACTAACAAGTGTATGAGGTGCCACTTGCACCAGAACTCTACTAGACTTTGCACATTACTGATTTCATAAGAGTGCTGCATAGAGAAGCATACAGAATAGCTATAAGGCCAGGGGTAGGCAAAATACAGCCCACAGGCTGGATCCAGCCCGCCAACCAGTTGGATCTGGCTTGTGGGGTGCACCTGCCAACTGATTGGATCCAGTCTGCAGTTACCCCACAGCACTCCATATGTGGCTGAACCCCCCTGGGGCAGCCAGTGCTGTGCTCTTGCCAGTGCCTCTTGGCCCCAGTCCTGGCCAGCATGCACAGCTTCTGGTGGGGCTGCTCCTGGTGTGGCTTCAGCTGCCTGGGTGCTGCTCAGCTCCCCTCGCCTCCAGTGATGGCTCCTCCTCATGCTTCTGCCCCTGCTGC